AGTTCACTGTACATAAATTATATTTCAATAAACTGTATGAAAAAGCCGTCACTTTATTCTTCATCTTTGGAGGGCAGAACAGCGTAATGACTGAGAACACGAGCTCGGAGAGAGCTTGCATTCAAATTCTGGCTCTAACGTTTACTAAACCGCTATGTGACCTTGAATTCACTGTCTAATCCAACAAAGCCAAGTCTCTATTTCTGTAAAATGGAGGAAATATTTTATCCCAAAGGATTGTTGGGAGGACTGTTTAATCCATAATTATAAAATTATTAGCCATAATTACTGTTATTTCCATTTAGAAGCTGACAACAAGATTTTCATTTTAAATGCTCTTTAAGTTCAAAAAATTATATATTTGTAAGATTCAAATTCATCAAATATTTACTGAGCATCTACTATGTTCCAAAGGATCTCTGGTGGTACAGTGGTTAAGGCATTTAGCTGCCTTAGTAGTTCAAACCCACCAGCCACTCTGTGGAAGAAAGATGAAGGAGTCTGTTGTCATAGATTTACAGCCTTGGATACCCAATGGGAGTCGCTATGAGTCAGAACTGACTCAATGGCAGTGAGACTGGTTTTGGTTTACTATGTCCAAAGCACTATGTTTAAGATCTGTGGAGAAATAGTTGTTGAAACACTAAACAAACATTAAACAAATAATTCAAAATAATTGAAGAGATACCTATTCATTAATATAAAAAGGTGTTATGATTTATTAAAACAAAAAAGGGTACCAAAAGTATTAATGGTGTGATCTTGTTTTTATAAGCAAAAATGTGTATTTATATACATTCACACAAAAATGTATTTAAGATGCTAAACCAAAACTAACTAAGGATAATCTTTCAGTGGTTGGATCCCGATGCTGTCAAGTTGACTGTAACTCACAGCGACCCTACAGGACAGAGCAGAACTACCCCTATAGGGTTTCTAAGGCTGTAAATCTTCAGGGAAGCAGACTGCCTCATCTGAGGTGGAGTGCGGGTTCAAACCACCAACCTTTTGGTTAGCAGCCGACCACTTAAACACTATGCAACCAGGGTTCCTTCAGTGGCAAGATAAAGAATAATTTTATTTCTTTTTCTTAATGTACTTTCTAATTTTTGTACAATGAACATTTAACACATGTTGTTGTTAGGTGCCGTTGAGTCATTTCTGACTCATAGCGACCCCATGCACAGCAGAACAAAACACTGCCCGATCCCACACCAGCTCCATGATCCTTGCTATACTTGAGCCCACTGTCGCAGCCACACACGTGTAGGACAGGGAAAGTTGAAGAAATTTTGCCTATTAGTATGTAAGTCACAGACTGGCTCAGGTAGTATATAATCCATGAGCATCCTGATTAGAAGTGGAAAGCAAGATTTATGGTACACAAAGAATACATTGTGATCTTTAATTTATAAAGATTAGAACAGG